GGCCGGGAATGTGTTTAGAATTATTTAACTCACACTGTAAGTTAATTACCAGAGTTGTGTGCGTGTGGGTGCACAGCGGAACAAGTTTGGCAACAGTTAAGAACATTATGTGACTGAGGTAACAAACTATAACAAATTATATAACAGGAAGAACTTAACTGCAATATATCTTGTTTACGTTTGCAATTATACTAATATAAAAAGTTATAATAATAATAATAATGGTAAATAATACAATTAATATTATTATTATTATTAAATTGCCTCGTACAGTACTGAGATAAATATTAAATGATATACTAATGAATATTAATACAAATGCATATTAAATGAAGTTGATCAACCAGGTTGTTATGGGTTAAGCCAGGTGGTAAGCCCGAGTCGTGGAGGGGGTGGGGGGTGTGCAAGAGCGACTATATGCACCCATCCAGGGATAAGCCAGACGCATTATTTCTTAACCCTCTCCCCCACTTCCTTACCCTTCTCTGCTCCAACTTCTCCACCCGAATTATGTGACTTTTGTTACGAAGCTGGTTGGGCTTTTACCAGCGGCGTCTCACGTATTGAAAAGAGTTTGGTGGTACAGGTAATATGTTGTGAGTTACTGTACTATCCTTTCAGCCTCTGGCTCATGGCGTTCGCAAATTACTCTCTATATGGATGTTTTGGCGTCACTAAGAGATTTGTTGATGCATGTGTCATTTACTTGATCCACGTTCGATCCCCGGTGGTCCAAGTGGCTGGGCACCATTCCTTGAAACCCTTGTTCTCATATCTCAGTTTCTTGTCCTCATATCTCTGTTCCTTGTCCTCATATCTCAGTTCCTTGTCCTCATATCTCAGTTCCTTGTCCTCATATCCCAGCTCCTTGTCCTTATATTCCAGCTCCTTGTCCTCATATCTCAGTTCCTTGTCCTCATATCGCAGCTCCTTGTCCTTATATCCCAGTTCCGTGTCCCCATATCCCATCCATCTATATATCCCATCCTATATAACACTATACAAGTGCTATATTAGGTAATTCTGGCTTACAGCTTACTTCTGATAATTTAATTTCTTTGGACTGTGCTTAAGTAGTTGAAGATTGGACAGAAGCTGCCCGCCCAACAGCTGAAGTAATGAATTCGGATAAATTTTATATTGTTATTACTGGTAATGATTCAGAGTAACATTGTTGTAAGCCTAACAAGGCTAGGCTCTTGTAGGCCTAGTGAGCCCAACGTTCCTGAAGAATTTAATTGATTGATGAAGATTAAGCCACCCAAGAGGTGGCACGGGCATGAATAGCCCCTAAGCGTTCCCGAACCACAGTCGTTCATGATATATATATGCTTCAGAACTTGTTGCCAGACGGGCTTACGGGCTATTCATGCCCGTGCCACCTCTTGGGTGGCTTAATCTTTATCAATCTTTATCTGTTGGCAGACGGGAGACATCTCCCGTCACGCAGGGTGCAGGCGCACCTCCACAGATCTCCAGTATCATCTATTGATACTGGCAATGGCTCAAAAGGGCCACCACTTACGGGCTATTCGTGCCCGTGCCACCTTTTGGGTGGCTTAATCTTCATCAATCAATCAATCTTGTTGCCAGCCAGTTACAGCCCCGCTCCTGTGCCAGGTAAGTCCACTACGGGCTCACCATAGCCCATGATACTTTGAAACTTTTGTTCTAAGTAGCTGAATCTAAGACAACAACATTGTTGCCAGCCTTGTACCCTACCACTGCACCCTCTGCACCCCACCAGCCCTCTGCACCCCACCAGCCCTCTGCACCCTCACCAGCCCTCTGCACCCCACCAGCATCTCCCACATTCCTCCGTCCTCTCCCCTTATAGCCCTTAATCAACCCCCCATCAAATGCCCACAAACACCAGGCTATTCCGGATGTACTACGCGCCGCTGGGCCACGCTCCCGGGCGCCTCGGGTTTACTGGGGTTTCCCCTCAAAATGTCGCTATCGGGCGCGCGTAAATATTTGGTTGGGTGAGGGTGAAACTCGCCGGAAGATGTTGACAAAACCTTCATGACTCGTTGGTGGCTGCCAGCCCCTCCACACGCACCCACGCGCGTGCTCTCGCACAAACGCACACACACGCAACCCAGGAGGCAATGCTGCGGGGTTATAGTGCTAATTTAGGGCCCGTGGTTCGATTGCCGGCCGAGGCAGAATAAACAAATAGATATAGCCTAAGTTACTAAGTTACTAAGGAGGCTAGAAATAGCCTAAGTTACTAGTTACTAAGTTACTAAGGAGGGTAGAAATAGCCTGTTACTAAGTTACTAAGGAGGCTAGAAATAGCCTAAGTTACTAGTTACTAAGTTACTAAGGAGGGTAGAAATAGCCTGTTACTAAGTTACTAAGGAGGCTAGAAATAGCCTGTTACTAAGTTACTAAGGAGGGTAGAAATAGCCTGTTACTAAGTTACTAAGGAGAGTAGAAATAGCCTAAGTTACTCTATCCCTTTGAGATGTATTTCTTTCTTGTCTCAATAAACATACTTGAACTTGAACAAATAGAGTTTCTTTCAGCTGATGTACCTGTTCACCTAGCAGTAAATAGGTCCCTGGGTGCTAGACAGCTGTTATACGGGCTGCTTCCTGGGGATGTGTGCGCATTTGTATACATGCATGTATGTATGCGTGTGTATGCATTCATGTATGAATGCGTGGATGCATGCATATGTATGTATCCATGTATGCGTGGATGCATGTGTGTTTATGTATATATGCGAGTGTATGCATGTGTGTATGTATATGTGTGTGTGTATGTATGCGTGTGTGTATGTATGTGTGTGTATGTATGCGTGTATATGTATCCATGTATGCGTGGATTAAATTTTTCTGCCGCTTTGTCCATTAGTCCAAAAAAAACAATAATAATAATAAAGTAAGAATATAATAAAATAAGACAAAAATACAATAATAAAAAGAAGAAGAATTAAAGAGGATTAGAAAACTATTAATAGATAAAAAAGGAATAAAAATGACATAAAGATGAAAGAAGATGCTGAAGGAGATTGAAAAGGTGCAGGAAAACAGGAAAAGAACTGGCAATGATAGAATAATCTTTTTCTGCCCCCTTCTGGCGGGAGCAAATGTGGAGAAAGTTTTCATTTTTTGGCTTCTTGGCAGATGGGGTGTGTGGGTTGGGGGGAGTGGGGGGTGTGGGGGCTGGGGTGAGGGTGTGGGGGGGGGGCGGAGTGTTGGGGGGGGGGTGTAAGTGGAGTACAAACAAATCAAACACAGACTTCACCTGCAAACTAACAACTCAAACCTAAGTGAATCCTGATTTACATCTGCCTCATATATCTCTCCCTGATCTTCGGCCGGCCTCTCAACCCAGGTCTCATATAGCCTGTCCGTTAATATGTTGCAAGTGTTGTATAGAGTCACACTGGCTTAGTGAGTTCTCCTCATCCCTCACCTGGGCTTTCGTGTTGGTAGGCTCTTGATTTATCTCTTCCTATAGTGTGTGTGTATATGTGTGTGTGTGTGTGTGTGTGTGTGTGTGTGTGTGTGTGTGTGTGTGTGTGTGTGTGTGTGTGTGTGTGTGTGTGTGTGTGTGTATGTGTGTGTTTGTGTATATGTGTGTGTGTGTGTGTGTGTGTGTGTGTGTGTGTGTGTGTGTGTGTGTGTGTTCACCCATTCGTGCCATCAGGATTAAACATTTGGCTCTGGGATCCAGCTTTCGATCTATTTTCTTTACGATATTAATACAAGACTAGCTACCGACCCTCCTTAGGATGCAACCCACATCAGCTGTCTTACTTCAGAGTGAACTGCTAGGTGAAGAGAGGCATTAGGTGAAAAGAATCTTTTGGAGAAACACAATTCTCCCATTATGCAGGCTGATGAGAGAGAGAGAGAGAGAGAGAGAGAGAGAGAGAGAGAGAGAGAGAGAGAGAGACCATTCCATTATTCAGTGAGTCTACAATTACCACTATTTGTTCCACTATTACTACTACTACAACTACTATGATAATATAACAGTACGGTGCCTGGAACAGTAGCCTCGGTGGCCCGGCTCACAGTCACTGTTTCAGAATGAAATATTGATACAGAGGGCACCAAAATGTTGGGCCAACCAGAAGGCAATTTCCTTTAAGAGGCTTAACCTCCAGATCCGATTTGCTGTTGCAATGTCCTTGGGTATTTCTCCAGCGGGGATGGCTTTATGTATTTGTGTATATATGTGAATATATGAATATGAATATATATATATACATATATATATATATATACACACATTTTGAGTGATTTAGATAGACACTTTCAGACACACTAACAAACATGTATATACCCCTATGCTCAAACTGATCGTGTATTAGCTTCGAACAAGCTTAGGTTGTCAGGGTGATAGGTGACAGACACCTGTTCTTAGCGTGACGTGCTCAGTGCACAGGCCACCACTGTTCGTGGAGGGTGCTGCTCAGTCAGCCTATAGGCTACTGCTGTACATGGAAGGAGTGGTGGATTTTGCTCATTACACAGGCCATCACCGTCTCATGCCTACATGTATATATGGTGCGAGATGGAGTGAAGCTCTTTTGTAACTAAATGTCCCATTTTCCACTACTACTAACCTTTGCACCTAACACCTCCACCCAGGCTATCCCTTCCACCCTATCCAATTCCACACCCCCTGCCACCCACTCTTTCACCCCCTATCCCCCCTCACTTCCCCTCTATTCCCCACTCCATCCCCCCCCCTCCATCCTCTTATGTTATTGGTATTTCCTAGCCCCTGCTCAGGCCACAGAGATCACAGCTCAGAGATCACAGCTCAGGTCAGTGTTCAGAGCCAAAGTTCTGGTCCCCGCTGAGATCAGAACTGCTGAATCAAAGATTGGTGCTAACTTTAGCCTGTTATGGTACCTTATTCTATTGTTGTATTGAAAGACTTTTATTCTGTATTTCACTATAGAACTCGTTCAATAGCACACTTTATTTATTGTGTTGCTTTTATTGTTGTTGTTAAAATATTATTGTGTGTTCCAGAGGCACAAGGGTCAGTGCCACCGAGGATGAGCGAGCGAGCAGGTCGTGTGGTGGCCCCAGCCGGTGCCAGAGTGACCCTCCCCTGTGTGGCCCAGGGCCACCCTCCCCCACACTATACGTGAGTACTACCCCTCCCCCTGTGGCACAGGGCCACCCTCCCCCCCACTATACGTGAGTACTACCCCTCCCCTGTGGCCCAGGGCCACCCTCCTCCCCATGTGTGGCCCAGGGCCACCCTCCCCCACACTATACGTGAGTACTACCACTCCCCTGTGGCCCACCTTCCTCCCCATGTGTGGCCCAGGTCTTTCCAGTTTCATCCGAACAGCTGCTGAATACTACCCCAGCCCTCAAGGTGGCCCACGGTGACCTTATGGTCCATGTGGCCCATGTGGCCTTCCATAAATGACACAGGACAATTGCCTTTGCATGTTTTCAAGTTTGTTTGTTCGTCAGTCAGTCTTTTTCTGCCAGTTTGTTTGCTTTGACGTTGTTTGTTGGTCTGTCTCTGTGTTTGTTTGCTGGACGTTCAGTGGTTGAGAGGTTAAGTGTGGGGTGGTGACATAGCTCCTGGTCCCGGTCCTCCCGGTCTCTGTGCCTCGCTTCTCTTGTGAGTGTTTTCTCTGCCGCTCATAAATCTCTCCGCCATTCTCCCCTATTCCTTATTCTCATGTGTCTTCTCTTCTCCCTTCTCTTACCTCCCTGGCTCTCACTCTCTGATTTATTTTATTATATAATTTATTTTCCGTTCGTTGAGTTCGTCCCTCTTTCATCTGTTATCTCCCGCTTCTGTCTGTCTGTCTGTCTGTCTGTCTGTCTGTCTGTCTGTCTGTCTGTCTGTCTGTCTGTCTGTCTGTCTGTCTGTCTGTCTGTCTGTCTCTCTCTCTCTCTCTCTCTCTCTCTCTCTCTCTCTCTCTCTCTCTCTCTCTCTCAGTATCTTTCCTCGACTCACCAGAAATTCGCATTTTTCTTTGAAATTTTACCTTCCCCTCTTGCTCCTCCCCCTTTATTTCTCTCTTCTTGTTCCTCTCCTCTTCTCCCTCTCCTCTTGTTCCTCTCCTCTTCTCCCTCTCCTCTTGTTCCTCTCCTCTTCTCCCTCTCCTCTTGTTCCTCTCCTCTTCTCCCTCTCCTCTTGTTCCTCTCCTCTTCTCCCTCTCCTCTTGTTCCTCTCCTCTTCTCCTTAAATGTAATATCAAACATTTCTGACAATGCCTTTGACTACTTTTGAATTCACAAGGTAATCAATTTCCTAACTTAATAGTTATTTGCTATTGGGTCTTAATGTTTGGATTTGCCATTGTTCCCATTCTCTGGGGACCCTTAACCCCCTCCCCCCCCGAGGCTTCCACTGAAGCCAAACTCGAGTTTTATACAGTTCCTCCCCCCATACACTCTGGCTTCTAGGGTCATCTAGGAATCCAGATTGCAGGAAGGAGCGGAGAATTGAGTGAAACCCTGGTACTAACGCTTCAGTGGAAGCCTCTGGATTTCTCGTGGGGTTCAGCTTAAGACCCCCCCCCCCCTTCAGGTTGCAATTCTTTTGAACATGTTGTGGCTTAGTCGGCTAGAGTGTGTGTTTGGGTACATCCAAGCGCATGGGTTCGAATCCTTATCACGGCTCCGGTGGGGGTTTTCTCTGTAATGTGTCGCGTGACCGTGATTTCTCTGTGTAATATAATCTATATTGTATTAAAATGTGGAAAGTTTTATTAATGTGATGATGTATTTAAAATATGGATAGGAATAACTTAATAAAATGGCTTAGTTGAATATGCTGGTAGACTTAGACATAATTAAATCAACACACAGTATAATTGTTAACGAGGATAGAGATCATCTTACTTAATTAATTAACTGTTTTTGCTTGTCTATAACCTGCAGCGTTGTAAACTAACCGTTTATTGTAAACTATTGTAAAGACTATTGTAAACTGAGAGAAAAAAAAAACAGGTATTGCCTCACTTTGTCTTTGAGAGAATATTGCAATAAAGTGATTATCTAAGCCACAATCTAATCTAAACTATCAGGCCAATCTAAACTACCTCTAAATCTAAATCTAACTAAATCTAAAGGGCTCATCTAAACTACCTCCTCCAACTACCATAAATACGTCACCGTTATTAACTACGTTCACTACCACACACATTAACTACTGACACATCGCCCCCACACTAATTCCTCAAGTTCATTCAAGGCAGATGTAAGCCCTGTTGCCATCACTGATCAATTAATAATCCCAAATATTATTCCATTGATCTGTAAACAATTTGGAGGAGGAAATGTATGTATGTGTGTGTATGCAGGTGAGGAACTACCCTACCTTAATGTGGTAGTTCCGTGACCAATTAGATCTGGAAAGGAGCAATTAAGGTCATCTATATTTATATAGTGTCTCTTATACATATTTATGTCTCCTATTTTATATACCATATACTGTTAGGTTATGGGACTAATCACCTGCAGGTTAATTATGAGTCCTGTATCTCTCTCTCCCCTCTCCCCTACAGGTGGTACCGGGGTTCGAGACCCGTGGGGGGCAGCAGCGGGGTGTGGATGGTGGGGGGGTCGCTAGTACTGGGGCGGGTGGGGGTGGAGGACACCGCCCAGTACACCTGTGTGGCCAACAACACCGCTGGTGAGACCCGGTACTCCGCTCACCTGTTGGTCACCTTGCCCGTCTCTGTCCAGGTGAGTCAAGCTCTGTCCAGGTGAGTCAAGCTCTGTCCAGGTGAGTCAAGCTCTGTCCAGGTGAGTCAAGCTCTGTCCAGGTGAGTCAAACTCTGTCCAGGTGAGTCCCCCTCTCTGACCAGGTGAGTCCCCCTCTCTGACCAGGTGAGTCCCTCTCTCTCTCTAGGAGAGTCCCTCTCTGACCAGGTGAGTCCCCCTCTCTGACCAGGTGAGTCCCTCTCTCTGTCTAGGAGAGTCCGTCTCTGACCAGGTGAGTCCCCCTCTCTGACCAGGTGAGTCCCCCTCTCTGACCAGGTGAGTCCCTCTCTCTGTCTAGGAGAGTCCCTCTCTGTCTAGGTGAGTCCCTCTCTGTCTAGGTGAGTCCCTCTCTGTCTAGGTGAGTCCCTCTCTCTGTCTAGGTGAGTCCCTCTCTGTCTAGGTGAGTCCCTCTCTGTCTAGGTGAGTCTCTCTCTGTCTAGGTGAGTCTCTCTCTGTCTAGGTGAGTCTCTCTCTGTCTAGGTGAGTCCCTCTCCCCATTTAGAACAGATCACCCCCCCCCCTGGACTCTTGAGAGACGTCTGCCCCTTCTATCAGCATGAGTCCCCCCCCCCCTGTCACCCTCTTCTAGGGTGAGTTCCCCTTCCCATATGACTCAAAATTTGTCACCCTTCCCCCCCTATCTCTATCTACAAGAGTCACCCCTGTCACCCCAGGGTTAGGTCCCCCGCTCCCCCCCTTCCCCCCTCTCTACCCCCATATACAACCCCTGCAATTACAACGTACACCTGGTCATTAATGTCCGGCCTAATTACTCTCGTGGGCTCTCATATTTATGGCATCATTTTAGCAGGTAATTACCAGCAGAGGAAATCAGCCTCGTGCTGCTGCGGTGTTTACTACTTTGGTGATTGAACAGCTGTTTGGCACGTGTGTTTGTGTTGTGTGTTGATGTTCATGTGTTGCAGGTGTTGATGCAGGGGTTGATGCAAGTGTTGATGCAGGGGTTGATGCAGGTGTTGATGCAGGTGTTGATGCAAGTGTTGATGCAGGGGTTGATGCAGGTGTCCCAGGGGTTGATGTAGGTGTTGCAGGTGTTGATGCAGGGGTTATTGCAGGTGTTGATGCAGGTGTTGATGCAGGGGTTGATGCAGGTGTTGATGCAGGGGTTGATGTAGGGGTTGATGCAGGTGTTGATGCAGGTGTTGCAGCTGTTGATGCAGGTGTTGCACGTGATGCAGGTATTGCACGGGTTGATGCAGGTGTTGCACGTGTTGCAGGTGTTGATGCAGGTGTTGCACATGATGCAGCTGTTGATGCAGGTGTTGATGCAGGGGTTGATGTAGGGGTTGATGCAGGTGTTGTTGCAGGTGTTGATGCAGGTGTTGCTGCAGGTGTTGATGCAGGTGTTGCTGCAGGTGTTGATGCAGGTGTTGCTGCAGGTGTTGATGCAGGTGTTGTTGCAGGTGTTGATGCAGGTGTTGCACGTGTTGCAGGTGACGCCGAGGGAGGTGCAGGTGGACGCGGGGGGGAGGCTGGAGCTGAGGTGCCACGTCTCAGGTGAACCCGTCGACACCGTCACCTGGTACAAGGACGGCACCGTGCTGAGGTGAGTCCCCAGGTGGTGCTGAGGTGAGTCCCCAGGTGGTGCTGAGGTGAGTCCCCAGGTGGTGCTGAGGTGAGTCCCCAGGTGGTGCTGAGGTGAGTCCCCAGGTGGTGCTGAGGTGAGTCCCCAGGTGGTGCTGAGGTGAGTCCCTAGGTGGTGCTGAGGTGAGTCCCCAGGTGGTGCTGGGGTGAGTCCCCAGGTGGTGCTCAGTCCCCAGGTGGTGCTGAGGTGAGTCCCCAGGTGGTGCTGCGGTGAGTCCCCAGGTGGTGCTGAGGTGAGTCCCCAGGTGGTGCTGAGGTGAGTCCCCAGGTGGTGCTGAGGTGAGTCCCCAGGTGGTGCTGAGGTGAGTCCCCAGGTGCTGAGGTGTCCCCAGGTGGTGCTGAGGTGAGTCCCCAGGTGGTGCTGAGGTGAGTCCCCAGGTGGTGCTGAGGTGAGTCCCCAGGTGGTGCTGAGGTGAGTCCCCAGGTGGTGCTGAGGTGAGTCCCCAGGTGGTGCTGAGGTGAGTCCCCAGGTGGTGCTGAGGTGAGTCCCCAGGTGGTGCTGAGGTGAGTCCCCAGGTGGTGCTGAGGTGAGTCCCCAGGTGGTGCTGAGGTGAGTCCCCAGGTGGTGCTGAGGTGAGTCCCCAGGTGGTGCTGAGGTGAGTCCCCAGGTGGTGCTGAGGTGAGTCCCCAGGTGGTGCTGAGGTGAGTCCCCAGGTGGTGCTGAGGTGAGTCCCCAGGTGGTGCTGAGGTGAGTCCCCAGGTGGTGCTGAGGTGAGTCCCCAGGTGGTGCTGAGGTGAGTCCCCAGGTGGTGCTGAGTCACCAGGTGGTGCTGAGTCACCAGGTGGTGCTGAGTCACCAGGTGGTGCTGAGGTGAGTCCCCAGGTGGTGCTGAGGTGAGTCCCCAGGTGGTGCTGAGGTGAGTCCCCAGGTGGTGCTGAGGTGAGTCCCCAGGTGGTGCTGAGGTGAGTCCCCAGGTGGTGCTGAGGTGAGTCCCCAGGTGGTGCTGAGGTGAGTCCCCAGGTGGTGCTGAGGTGAGTCCCCAGGTGGTGCTGAGGTGAGTCCCCAGGTGGTGCTGAGGTGAGTCCCCAGGTGGTGCTGAGGTGAGTCCCCAGGTGGTGCTGAGGTGAGTCCCCAGGTGGTGCTGAGGTGAGTCCCCAGGTGGTGCTGAGGTGAGTCCCCAGGTGGTGCTGAGGTGAGTCCCCAGGTGGTGCTGAGGTGAGTCCCCAGGTGGTGCTGAGGTGAGTCCCCAGGTGGTGCTGAGGTGAGTCCCCAGGTGGTGCTGAGGTGAGTCCCCAGGTGGTGCTGAGGTGAGTCCCCAGGTGGTGCTGAGGTGAGTCCCCAGGTGGTGCTGAGGTGAGTCCCCAGGTGGTGCTGAGGTGAGTCCCCAGGTGGTGCTGAGGTGAGTCCCCAGGTGGTGCTGAGGTGAGTCCCCAGGTGGTGCTGAGGTGAGTCCCCAGGTGGTGCTGAGGTGAGTCCCCAGGTGGTGCTGAGGTGAGTCCCCAGGTGGTGCTGGGGTGAGTCCCCAGGTGGTGCTCAGTCCCAGGTGGTGCTGAGGTGAGTCCCCAGGTGGTGCTGAGGTGTTGATGCAGGTGTTGCTGAGGTGAGTCCCTAGGTGGTGCTGAGGTGAGTCCCTAGGTGGTGTTGAGGTGAGTCCCCAGGTGGTGCTGGGGTGAGTCCCCAGGTGGTGCTCAGTCCCCAGGTGGTGCTGAGGTGAGTCCCCAGGTGGTGCTGAGGTGAGTCCCCAGGTGGTGCTGAGGTGAGTCCCCAGGTGCTGCTGAGGTGAGTCCCCAGGTGGTGCTGAGGTGAGTCCCCAGGTGGTGCTGAGGTGAGTCCCCAGGTGGTGCTGAGGTGAGTCCCCAGGTGGTGCTGAGGTGAGTCCCCAGGTGGTGCTGAGGTGAGTCCCCAGGTGGTGCTGAGGTGAGTCCCCAGGTGGTGCTGAGGTGAGTCCCCAGGTGGTGCTGAGGTGAGTCCCCAGGTGGTGCTGAGGTGAGTCCCCAGGTGGTGCTGAGGTGAGTCCCCAGGTGGTGCTGAGGTGAGTCCCCAGGTGGTGCTGAGGTGAGTCTCCAGGTGGTGCTGAGGTGAGTCCCCCCAGGTGGTGCTGAGGTGAGTCCCCAGGTGGTGCTGTCACCCTCCCCCCCTCCCCCCTCACCAGGTCAGGGGGGCGGGTCACCACCAGTACTAACCCCCACTCCCCCCCTCACCAGGTCAGGGGGGCGGGTCACCACCAGTACTAACCCCCTCCCCCCTCCCCCCTCACCATTTCAAGGGGGCGGGTCACCATCAGTACTAACCCCCACTCCCCCTCCCCCCTCACCAGGTCAGGGGGGCGGGTCACCATCAGTACTAACCCCCTCCCCCCTCCCCCCTCACCAGGTCAGGGGGGCGGGTCACCATCAGTACTAACCCCCACTCCCCCTCCCCCCTCACCAGGTCAGGGGGGCGGGTCACCACCAGTACTAACCCTCCCCCTTCCCCCGTCACCAGGTCAGGGGGGGCGGGTCACCATCAGTACTAACCCCCACCCCCCTCACCAGGTCAGGGGGGCGGGTCTCCACCAGTACTAACCCCCTCCCCCCTCACCAGGTCAGGGGGGCGGGTCACCACCAGTACTAACCCCCTCCCCTCCTCCCCCGTCACCAGGTCAGGGGGGCGGGTCACCATCAGTACTAACCCCTCCCCCCCTCCCCCCTCACCAGGTCAGGGGGCGGGTCACCACCAGTACTAACCCCCTCCCCTCCTCCCCCGTCACCAGGTCAGGGGGGCGGGTCACCATCAGTACTAACCCCCTCCCCTCCTCCCCCGTCACCAGGTCAGGGGGGCGGGTCACCATCAGTACTAACCCCCTCCCCTCCTCCCCCGTCACCAGGTCAGGGGGGCGGGTCACCATCAGGCCGCGGGAGTCACTACATGTGTCACCAGTTCACGCCTCCGACGCCGGCGTCTACCAGTGCGCAGCCACCTACGCGCAGGACTACGCCCACGCCCAGGCCTACGTCACGCTCGGAGGTCAGTATACGCAACTCACTATTTATATATATATATATATATATATATATATATATATATATATATATATATATATATATATATATATATATATATATATATCCTACACTACTCCAAACGCTCCCAAGACTTCTTCCTCTACCAGTAAATTGAGAGAGAGAGAGACTAACATATTTGTACACATTAATCTTACTACAACAAGACCTATAGAATCACCATAAGCCTAGGGGGGGGGGGTCATAATTAGCGTATAGGGCCACAATAGCTACAAAAACAGTAGGGTCTCAGTAGGCCTGCAGGGTCTCGTAATTTACTCTTTATTTCTTTCATCGCACGCTTTTACTCTACACCCTCCCCCCTACCCCCACCCCAACACCCACCCCTACACCCACCCCGCGACACCCACCCTCCACACCCCATCACCAGGTGGTGCTGAGGTCACCTACACCAACCCCTACACCCAGCCCCTACATCCCATCACCACCCCTACACCCCATCACCACCTTTACACTCACCCCCTATACCTACCCCTACACCCACCCCTACAGCCACCCTCCACACCCACCCCCTACACCCACCCTCCACACCCACCCCCTACACCCACCCCCTACACCCCATCAACACCACTACACCCCACTTACCTGGCAACACCAAGTCCCAACACATAAGCTTCACAACACATTAATGACCTAGACTAATCAAGGTCAAAATGACTCCTGTGACAGCTCCCGTTGACAGAGGTATTAATTATTTTATCGTGTCGTGTTCTGTAAAGGAGGCTCAGCGCTCATGTTTATATTTAATTAAAGTGTTGAGTATTGTATTCAAGTGTCCTCACTTGAAGTAATGAGAGAATCAGTGTTGATTTATAATGGTCGTGATTATTTATGCTTACTCTGTGTGTGTGTTGTGTACTCACCTATTTGTGCTTGCGGGGGTTGAGCTTTGGCTCTTTGTTCCCGCCTCTCAACTGTCAATCAACTGGTGTACAGGTTCCTGAGCCTACTGGGTTGTCATATCTACATTTGAAACTGTGTATGGAGTCAGCCTCCACCACATCACTGCCTAATGCATTCCATTTGTTAACTACTCTGACACTTAAAAAGTTCTTTCTAACGTCCCTGTGGCTCATGTGGGTATTCAGTTTCCACCTGTGTCTCCTTGTTAGCGTACCACCAGTGTTGAATAGTTTATCCTTATCTACCCTGTCTATTCCCCGGAGAATTTTGTAGGTGGTGATAAATTTCCCCCTTACTCTTCTGTCTTCCAGTGTCGTAAGGTGCATTTCCCGCAGCCTTTCCTCGTAACTCATGCCTCTTAGTTCTGGGACTAGCCTATTGGCATACCTCTGAACTTTTTCCAGCTTTGTCTTGTGCTTGACGAAGTACGGGCTCCATGCTGGGGCCGCATACTCCAGGATTGGTCTTACATATGTGGTGTACAAGGTTCTGAATGATTCCTTACACAGGTTCCTGAAGGCTGTTCTGATGTTAGCCAGCCTCGCGTATGCCGCAGACGTAATTCTTTTTATGTGGGCTTCAGGAGACAGGTTTGGGGTGATATCAATTCCTAGATCTTTCTCTCTGTCCGTTTCATTAAAGACTTCATCTCCTATTCTGTATCCTGTATCTGGTCTCCTGTTTCCACCGCCTAGTTTCATTACTTTGCATTTACTCGGGTTGAATTTTAGTAGCTATTTGTTGAACCATTCATTCAGTCTGTCTAGGTCATCTTGTAGCCTCCTACTATCATCCTCTGTTTTAATCCTCCTCATAATTTTTGCATCATCAGCAAACATTGAGAGAAACGATCTTCCTCTGGGAGATCATTTACATATATCAGAAACAGCAACCAGGTACCAACCAGTATAGGTCCAGTACAGTATATGTGTGTAACACAGTATTTGTGTGTGCAGTATATATGTGTAACAGTACAGTAGATGTGTGTGTGTGTTTACTATTTGTATCTGCAGAGTCGAACTATTAGCTCTTGGACCCCGCCTTTTTAACCAATTTATTTCTCCTCAATTATGTCCACTTCATATATTTATAACACACACACATTCCCGGGAAGCAGCCCGTAGCAGATGGTTAACTCCCAGGTACCTACTTTCTGCTAGGTGAACAAATGCATCAGGGTGAAAGAAACTGTTCTCATACATTCCTACCTCGGCCGGGAATCAAACCCGGGCCCTTAGGACTACAGACCCCCCCTGGGCACTGTCCACTCAGCCGCGAGGCCCCGTGTGTACTCACCTAGTTGCGCTTGCGGGGATTGAGCTTCGACTCTTTGGTCCGCCTTTGGTTGACCAAAGTGGGTCCCGTCTCCGAGTATATCAACGCCCCGGCATACTCCGAGAGAGTATGGTGCCCACACCACCATAATCTAATGTGGTGAGTGGCACTTGAGGGCTGGGTGTCACTTAAGTACCCCCTCGATACCTCCTTATCGGAAGGTTTACCAAGTTGCTTTAAGAAACTTGATACTTTCTAATCAAGTATCTTGGAGGTGGTGATGGTGGCAGCTTGAAACTTGCTTCTGGCGACAACAAAAAACTGAAAATGACTACAGTATTATTTCGATACTTTTAAAAAATGGGGAAAATTGGGCAGATGCAGTTTACTGCTAACAAAATAGGGTACTGGAGGCCTAGTTGATGATAATAGTTACCAAATATCAACTGGAAATTGTTTTAAATTACCAAATCTGGTACGAAAAAAGATCTGAGAGTCATGATTAATTGGGATCCTAACCTCAAAAATCAGTCTATTAATGTATGAAATAAAAGATTGCAATACTGGATAATGGTCCAAGATGGACCGAAACGTCGTCTCTTATCCATCTTCTGGTATATGGTTTGTTCATCATATCTTCAGCCCCGTTATTGCGACTCATAATCTGCAAATAGAATAATTAGATTTAGATCTAAAAGCCTTAGCAATCATGCTTCTAATGTTATTGAGAAACGTTTCTTTGTTGTTGTTGTTAGATGATGGAGTGCAGGGCTGTTCACCGTTCTATGAAATGGACTTAAACTTATTTAAATATGAAGGGAGTAGGACGCCAAAGTTAATCTCAGGATTTAGAACCTTCCCTTTGAAGAAATATTATAAAAGAGTAAATGGATTATTAAGTAATTATACAAATGGATGGAAAGCTACAGTAAAGGATAATATGATGTTAAACCTTTTAAACCATAAACAGTGCACGAAACAATGGATATCAACTGGATAAGTGTGGAAATAGGGTGTAGTTGATTTATGGAATATATTACAAGAGGATAACATAATAAAAATGGAATAGTTGGATTGTTTCAAGCGAAGGTTAGACACGAATATGACTTGAGTTGACGTAGATATAAATATGGAGTTGCCTTGTATGGGACCAGTAGTTAACTTCTTGTAATTACCTTTAATGTTATATTCATATGTACCTGAATTCACATCTGTGTGTCGGTTTGTATAATCTTGTATGCGTGTCTCTGTGTACATGTGTGTATATATATATGTGTATCTGTGTACGCGTGCATACATGTATCTGTGTACATGTGGATACACGTGTCTGAGAATGTGTGTGTAACCATTTCTGGAGAAATTTTCAAGAATCCAGGAGGTAGAGGAAGACGGAGAGGGTACGGGGACAAGGGTGTCAGGAAGAGGGACGGCAGGAGGCCGCAGCAGACAGGAAGAGGGACGGCAGGAGGCCGCAGCAGACAGGAAGAGGGACGGTAGGAGGCCGCAGCAGACAGGAAGAGGGACGGCAGGAGGCCGCAGCAGACAGGAAGAGGGACGGGAGGACCCCGCAGGTGGCAGCAGGCGCCGCCGGCCGAGTGATTCACATCCGATACTGAAAAATGGAGTGATGGGACTGGTCATTTGTCACATGGCGCCCCGAGGCTCCTCAGACGCTGTGAAACACACACACACACACACGCAAACAGGAAGGAACATACCGCACAGGAGGTGTGAGAGAGAGAGAGAGAGAGAGAGAGAGAGAGAGAGAGAGAGAGAGAGAGAGAGAGAGAGAGAGAGAGAGAGAGAGAGCTATGGAATGAAGGGTAGACTTTATTTATTAGGAGAGAAAGATGAAGTAGGAGCTGTCACCATCCTGTACACGAGCCAATTAAAGGGGAGATAGGAGACACCTTCACTATAGAAACTATCCCTCAAGGGTATCACAGCCAGTCTTCTTTTACCATGTTCCTGAGACATCATTAAATAAATTATTAAATGCGGTAATTGAGCTTAACAATGCACTCTATTGAATGAAACACTTTGCACTCTAGTAAGACAATTGGCTTCACTATTCGCCACTACTCTACCATCCAAGACAAGGGAGACTTTTCCATTCAATCACACTGCCATACTGGGCTGTTGAGAATACACTACACTGCTTATACTTCCTTGGACCTGACGCATACAACTGAACTCTTACTTCTAAAGACAAGGGGCATGTCACCCAGTGGTTGAGTGACTCCCCACTATGGGGGTGACAGCTGGGGGAAGGAAGCCACCAGCTTTCTTTCACCCCTTAGGTCATTTACAGGTTGAATCGACTCTCTGAATCTGAGTGAATCTCCGCAGCTCGAAGTATCCTTATGAGTGAGAGCCCAACTAGATTGAAGAACGCAGGCCTTACTAATACTCACGAAAATGACTCTTACAAGACCACATGGTGCATAGAGCCAGTGCCTCTTCTCGTGGGAAAATGTATGGGAGAGACCCCCAAAACCACAGCTTTCCCCTCACCCAACACTACTCTGCTCTGACTCCACACACAGCTCTCATACACCTTCACAAATACTCCCATATTATGGGAGGTGTAGTAAGTGTGAGAGTTTCCAGGTATTGCACATTTCTGGTGCTACCACTTTGGAGTAGCATTAGATTCAAATGCCTATTATGAAGGTTAAACGATCTAGTCGAACATTATATGATTTATAGACTTTTTTTGTCTGATGTGACTCGTCGAGCGTCGGTCAGTTTGCTTGTGGCGACTGTAGTCGCATTTAGCAGTTGAAAACGTTAACATATATAATATATTCTTTGTTCATATTCCAACAAGCCAACTTTTCATATTCCACTTTTCAGTCCTGCCAATTTCCTCCTCTTTCCCTCCATAAATAATTCCCTTTTTAATTCTTAGTAATTTCCAATATCCAGTAATTGCAATTACCATTCATAACCCAAAAAATAAAAATGTCAAGAATTCCTCTAATTTACTCTTCTTACAAATGGTGGCA